GAGCGGCGGCAGCGCCAGCGAGAGCCGGGAGAGCTTGGCTGCGAGGGAAGGCGGCCGTGAGCGCCCCCTGCCGGGGAAGCCGGGGCACGCCTCCCGCCCGTGTCCTCAGACAAGTCCTTGCAAGAGTCTGGGCCTCAGTTTCCCCACTGCGAACACCTCTGATCAGCTTTGAGACACCTTTCTCTTGCACCCTCTCCAGTGTGCACAGCACAAAACCCCAGATCTCGCCGCTTATGCGCCCAGCAACCTCTCTCTCCTCCCACTCTGCCCTCATCTCATTCAGATCCTGCCTCTTAGCCACATGGGTCCTGCTTTCTGCTCTAACAGGGACCTTTCTTGTCCAGCTCAAGTCCTGCCCAGCCTGCAGCCCCTCTGGTGGATTATTTTGGTGTGACGTGTCACCTGGTCCTGCGGAGCTGTGAACAATGATTTTCACGCTAAAGGACAGAGCTCGCCTTGACTTTTGAGCAAGAAGCAGCGTTCGACCAATCTCTCTGACTCATGAATGAATGTGTGACATTTACAAGGTGCTTCTCTGCTCTGCCTCTTTTTGGCCAAAAACCATCTCTGGGACCCTTCCATGCCCTAAAACTCCTCTATTTCAGCCTTAGGGTGGTGGGACAGAGGAGGTGGGGAGAATTTTTCAGGTCCCTGGTGCTGGGAACCTGGCTTTGAATCCCAAGCCTACCCTGCTCGCTGGCTGTGTGTCCCTGGGCAAGTGGATCCACCTCTCTGAGCCCTTGTTTCCTCACTGGTAAATGGACATGGGCCACTGATTCCTTCCTTAGCACTTAGGTGAATTGGGTGCTGGGCCCTGTCAGGGAGGGCACCCCTGTGGAGTGCAGATGAGAGGAGTGTGAGGGAGATGGGTGTGGTCAGTCACTCCCCAATCATCCCCTGTGTCCCACCTTCACTAACCTTGTGTTTACTCCCTGAACTTGCTAGGCAAATGGACATCTTAGTGTCCTCTACCTAGAACACTCTTCCTCCAGATAGCGACCCAACTTGGCTCTCTCACTGTCCTCAGCTCTGCTCAAAAGTTATCCCTTCATTAAAGTCTTTGACCACCCATTTCAGGGCGATGGGGGAAGTGTACAGCAGAGCTACAGGAAACCAAACAAAGATGACAGCTCTTAGAAATCAAGACGACTTCTCAGGGAAGGGGGAATTTATGTTGGGCCTTGAAGGATGAATAGGAGCTCACTGGTTGGAGAAATGTTGACTATTCTCACCCAGCAGATCCCATTAAGATCCTCTTCAGACACTGTAGCTGCTCTTCCCCTCAAGTGTGGCCAGGAGGTTCCTGACACACCATGAGTCTCCAGCGAATAGGAGCTGTGGTTACTACTGCTTCCTGCTTAGAGGGAGCTTCTATAACTTTCATAAATGAAAAAAGGTTCGAACTGATTTTGTCAGCATCACAGGCCCTGTATCCACATCTAAGCAGGAGCTTTTATCTTTTCCCCCCTCTGTTTCTTGTCCTTTCTCAGACTGTCCCCTTGAAGCATGGGAGGGCAGGTGAGGGCCTGAACAGGCTTAAGGGTGAGGTCCCAGGCACACCTGGCACACGGGGGCCGAAGGGCCTGGCGATGGAGGCCTTGGCTTGTTGGAAAGTTCACCCCAGCTGTCTCACCTTGGTCTAAATTGGGAGCAACCATCATATGCGGTGGTCACCTAGACTGTCACCTGTTTTGCTGCTGACTTGGTCAGCAGCTTGAACCCACCAGTTGTTCCTCAGGAGAAACATGGGCAGCTCCTCCCAAGATTTTACAGCCTCAGAAACCCAGGGGCTGGATCAACAGCAGATTTTTTTTAAAAAAATCATGAGACAAATAAAGAGGCCACTTTACCAACCAAACCAAAAACCCAAACCCATTACCGTCCAGCTGATTATGGCTCGTGGTGACCTTATGCATCATAGAGGCTGGAATCTTTATGGAAGATTTCCAGGCCTTTCTTCTGCTGCACCAATGGGTGGGTTCAAACTGCCAGTCACTGGTTAGTGGCGTTCACATAGTCCATGGGAAGTGGCTGCCCCTTTAGACAAGGCATTTTCTGCCCTCTGCCTACTTGGTCCCCTCAGCCCACTGCATTTACTTCCCTGTTGCCTGGCTCATGTGGCCTCTGATTTTGAGACCCCTGGTCTTGGCCGACTGCAGCAAGAGTTCAGGGGCTTGCCATGCTGGGCAGGAGGAGGCTTTAGAAGTGTTCACTCCTCTAAGCCTCATGACTGCACCACTGTGGAAGGGGAAACTGAGGCTCAGAAACCTTAAATTCATTTGCCCGAGGTCACAGTGTAAGGGAGGGGCAGAGGCTGGATTTGAACCCAGCAGGTGTGTCTAGGATCTGCACTCTTGACTGCTCCCCAGAAGCCCCAAGTTCCTTAGGGGAGCCCAACCTCTCCCGCTTGTTCTAAATGTGGCCGTCTCCTCACCTTTGATCTGCTCGCTGTTCCCCTGGGGGGGTCCCAAGTCCAAGAACAGCCGTGGCATCTCGGGGCCCTTCCTCTCTGGCTTGGGGGGGTCCCCGTCTCCGCTGGGTGCCGTGTCTGCGCCGACTCTGCTGTCTGGGGCCCCGGGGTCTCCCTCTGAGGCCGCCTCCAGCCTGGATCTCGGGGGCGGTGGCTCCGGCCTCCTCGGCTGGACCTCCGGCAGCGGTGGCGGCGGCTGCGGCCTCGTGCTGTCGGCCCGTACGGCCTTTGCGTCCACGCCGCTTCCGGGGCCGCCGCCGGGGACCATCCCCAGGCCCCCCAGGGCTCGGCCCCCACTCCCGGGGTCCAGCCTCCCAGCCCCTGGGGCTCTCGGCGCCCCCCCAGTCTCGAGGACTCTCCTCTGGGTCCCGGGGTCCGTTGCCCCGCTCCTGGGGGCTGGGCCAGTGGGGCCAGGGGCTGTCTCCAGGCCGTTCTGGGGTGAGGCTGCTGGCCCCTCGCCGGGTTCGGGGGCTCTCTCCAGCAAGGTCTCTGGGACTGGCTGCGTGATCGTGGGGGCTGGATCCCCACTCTCGGCCGTCTTCTCCCAGGGTCCGGGGACTCTCCAGGGCCCAGTCTCCAGCGGCCTCTCCACCTTCTTGGGAAAGTTCAGGCCCCCATTCTCTGCCACCTTCTCCTCGCTCTTTGGGGGTGTCAGGCCGCCATTCACTAGCATTTTCTCCATGGCCTCTGGGGACCTCAGCTCCCCATTCTCCAACTCCATCTCCTTCCTTGGGGGTGTCAACTCCCCATTCGCCATCACTTTCTCTTCTATCTCTGGGGACCCCAGGACCCCATTCTCCAGCGCCATCTCCTCGCTGTCGGAGACCATCTGTCCCCCGTTCTCCAACACTGTCACCCCGTTCACGGGGAGGTTCAGGTCCTCGTTCGGGTTTGGGGCTCTCTGCTCGCTGCCTGGGACTGTTGGGCCCGGAGCTGTCTCTCTGCTCCCGAGGCCTCTCCCCACCTTCCTGGGCCCTGGCTCCCGGGGGGCCACCCCCTTCTCCCCCAGGACGCTCCTTGTCACGTCCTCCCGCAGGGACATCAGCAGCTGCTCGGTGCTCACTTGAACCACGAAGGTTGGCTTCTCCCGGTCCCCCAAGGGTTCTAGGGGACCCGGGTCTGGGGGTGGCCGGGGCGCTCCCGGGTCGGGGGGCTCGGGGGGAGCCCGCGGCCGAGGGACCCCTTCCTCCTCGGCTGCTCCCCCGCCTGGGAAGGCTCCCTCGGGGGAAAAAGGGGTCTCGGTCTCGTAGCCGCTGTCCCCCGGCTTGGGGCCCGGGGAGGACAGGCCCGAGCCCGGGCTGGCCACGGCCGACGGGGGGTCGGGGGACGCGGCCGGGTCCATGGGGGCCCGGGGAGGCGGCGGCGGCGGCGGGGGGGGGGAGCGGGTGGTGGTCCCCGCCCGGGGTACTGGGGTGCTGCTGCGCCCATAAGGGGGTCCAGAAATTCGGGGGGGGCCGAAGCAGGGGGGGCCAAGGGCAGGTCGGCCAGGGAACCCCGTTCGGCTCGTAAGGATGAATCGTCTTCTGGGGGGTGGGGACACCCAAGAGCAGGGTGCCCCCCCCAGCCGGCCACGGCGTCCCCCCGCTCCAGAGGTAGGCAGGAGCAGGCCCCCTCGCGGCTGCATAGGGGACAGGGGAGGGGACCCCGGCGGCTGGGCCCCCCCCCAAGGCTGCTGCTGTCCTCCCCAGGGGAGCTGCCCTCCTCCTCCTCCTCCTCCTCGGCCCACGGGGCGGCCCCCCGCTCCCCCAGTACCTCGGCAGGGTCTCCGGCCAGGGTCTCCCCGGCCCCCCGGCCCTCGGGGTCCCAGCCACTTAGGAGGAAGCCGCCTGCGGCCGAGGCCTGGGCCGGGAAGGACCGGGGTGCCGGGAAGAGGGGCGAGGCCCAGGTCTCGGACACCAGCTGGGGGACCTCGGAGGGAGCCTGGGGGGGCTGAGGGGCAGGCACTCCCGGGTCCAGGGGGTCCCAGTCGTTGGGGAAGAGGGGCTCGGGTGGGGAGCCATGCTCCTCCAGCCGGATGTAGTACTCACTGCCCACCGAGGGGCTCCGCGCGCTGATGACGGGGAGCACGCTCGGTGTGGACAGGGCCTCGTAGAAGGGGTTTGAGGGGTTGGCATGGGGCGCCGGGGGCGCCGAAGCTGGCTGCCAGGGAGGCGCCCCCCCACCGCGGCCCGCCCCCCGCCGTGCCTTCTCCCACAGGCACTCGAGGTTGAGGCCGCGGCTGCTCTCGGTGACAGTGAGCACGTCGTCAGGGTCAGTTCCTGGGAAGCCATCCAGGAGGGGGAAGGGCGAGGACAGGGTACCCGGGCGGGGTGCGGTGTGCCCTGCGGGCCAAGGCCAGGGGAAGGGGCCATCCCGGGGCGGGGGCGGGGGAGGAGGTGGCCGAGGGGGCCGCTCTGAGAGCAGATAGGTAAGCTGCAGTTGGAGGTCAGAGGCCGAGGGGCGCTGGGCAGGTGGGCGCCAGCAGGACTGCAGGATGTCGTACCTGGGGGAGTGGGGCCAGTGTGAGTGACAGGGACCCAAAGAGAAAGAGGGAGACAGGGGCTAGAAGGAGCAGAGGACAGAGAAAGAGAGGGTCAGAGATTCAGAGAGAGAGAGAGAGAGAGAGACAGGGGGACAGAGACCCAGAGAGAGAGAGACAGGGCAACAGAGACCTAGAGAGAGAGAGACAGGGGGACAGAGATCCAGAGAGAGAGAGAGACAGGGCAACAGAGACCTAGA